TTCTACCAGTTTGATGTGTGTCGTTGATGTGTGAAGCGTCTGGCGGACTGACCATCATACAGTGACCTTCTCGTTTCAACACCACGTTCTCGTTCTCATTATACTAATAATTTTTTTTAGCCATCCAGGCAACAAGAACGAGGTCCTGCTCACCTTAGCGCGCAATCATTAGGATTCCAATCAAATGGTCCCTTGGCTTTTACAACAAACATCCTTGTTGATGCCCATGACGACTTTCTGAGAAGTATATTCGTCCCTTTCTCTATTTTTTTTTTTTTTTTTTTTTTTTTTTCTTTTCCTTATATGCTTTTATATCCATTTGCTAATGTTTTCCTATGTCAGTCAGCGATAACCAACTGGCATTACCTTCCTGTTCTGTTATCAACCACATTCCAAGATTGGATTGTCAATGCAACGGAAGTTGTATCTAAAATCTCCAGATTGGAGATTTTGCCTCATCGAACTGAATGAGCGAATTCGATTGATAGCTTTCTTTGTCTCGTTCCATCACCAGAACTTTCGATTTGGTGATGAAATTATATACATCCTGCCGTGTTAGGGGAGTTCCTTAACATTTTTCTGTCGCACATGCTAACGACCGATTCTTCCCATGTGATGTCTCCTGGTATAATGCTGTCACAGGCTCTCGATGCTAACAGTATGGCGATTGATAATGTATCGCAATAGACTCCAGCATTTCAGGACCAGTGTCAACTAACTGCAAATGGCGACTTCATGTGCGGAGATGCCTTCCATCTCACATGATGTTGTACTGCATCTGAAAATAAAAATGGAATCCTAGAATGTCGTACATTTATGGATAGCTGCTTGAGTTTATCCCATAATACGTGGGTTGTCAAAGAGTTTCAATGTGGAAGAGAAATGTTAAGTGTGGCGGGCGCGTATCCTTTCGGACTGTCAACATGGGATGGATGGAATCTGAATCGCTGGTTCGTTACATATATCAATGTTATCCAAACCAAAACTGCGAATGCCGATCTGATTTTGCCGTATCGGTACGTATATTTCAACATCTCTTGGCCTGCTTTTTTTTCGTTCTTACTCAGAATTACGGCTACTAACGATGGCTTACTGGGGTAGGTTGATGATATCTCTCGGCGAGCTCCTCGGTGTGATGTTCAATATTACTACGAATGGAAATCGTACACCAAATCGCCTCAAGGATCGATATGGTTGCAGTATGCGCACAATACTTTGCGGCATTCGCGGGGAGATCAGCACCTTGCCGAATAAAATGCAGATCGGCGAAATATCATGCCCTCCAAAATCGAATCTTCCACCTCTGGGAACGCAGGGCTCATTTCTGTCAATCACGTCATCCAAGAGGTTACAATATTCGCCAAAGGCAAAATAATTTCGACAATTAACTCCTCGGCAAGCTATCTGATAGTCAATGTCGTGAACCAAATCCCTGTGTTTACTTTATTCCGATTCGTCTCTCCTAGAAAGCAACGAAATGAAGAAGAAGCAAACCTTCCCTCCTGTGTCGCTTTTGCCGTTTCGGCTCTATTTCTCCCCTTTCACCTTTTGGGCCAGAAAACAATTTACAGAACAATTTCATTGGGTCGTTATATTGACGTCTTTAAACCCATCTCCAGGGTTTACTAGGCAGAGTTTCCGACACAGAAACGCTAAATCATGAAATGAGAAAGTGATCTACAGAAACTTGGAGCAGAGGCCTGTTGTTCTGGCTGACCAAATAGAGGGTGAGAGTCTATCCGTTGCGTCTAGGTCCTTAAAAAAGCCCTGGAGCCTAATCTAACCCTAACTTAACCCTAACCCCGCTCAGGATATCCGATTGACTGGCCCATCGACCGTTCCTACTTACCGAGAACCTCGCCTCCGCCACTGATTACACCGCTGGCGTAGACGATTACGTTGCAGGGTTGCCAGTTACGCAGGTGGAGAGACCATTAGGTCCTAAGGCAAGAAGGAACTTCCGTGCACCTACCGCTGATTCGTCGGATTGTAGGCTTACCTGTGTCCCTACCACTGTGCCCTTGCATGACTGGAACGGCCAGAGAATGCAAAATGGTGTTGACATCAAAAGCGAGGCTGTGAAGCGGTTGTTATTATCGACTCCCACCAACAATTCCATCAGGAAATATTACTATTGAGCTATTACTGATTCGCGTAACAGGAGCCGGGGGCCATGAGCAGATTGGTCCTGAGAATCTGTTTAGTTCGCGTTTTGTACTGTATATCATATTAGGCAATCTGCTGTCGACAATATTTCCCATCATCCACACTCTAACCACTTGAAGGTTCTGACGCTTGTTTATTTCACATGGGCGATTAATCGCCAATTAATTATCCGGATGCCATGCTAGCCCTTCTGATAAATGAACTCTTGTTAAACGGCACCTAACCTCGCGAGAAATG